AATCTCTTCTGTTCTCCATCTGCCATATTCTTGTTTTGATCAAAAGTAGTAAAGGTGCCACAAGTGAATGAGGCTTCCTTGGAGGTAGGAGAAAAGTGCAATGTATTCTGTGGAATAGCAGTTTTCACCTTGGGCAAGGTTTCTCAACAAGGGATCCCTGGAACTCCAGGCTTTGCAAGAGCTTACTAGGGGTTCTGTGAGATATTGTGAAAAACACAAACACAGAGAGAGAAATTATTTCTGAGCAATAAATATAATAATTTTTATGCAGGGATTCCCTGAGACTTGTAAATTATTAGGGTTCCTCTGGGGATAAAAGGATGAGAAAGCCTGCCCAAGGCTGTTTCCCCAGGTGGTTAGCTATTGCAGGATGGGAATGTCTTTTAGCAGCCCCTATTGGATTAGTTATGTTGGACCTATTTTTGGTGCAATATCTGCATGCTTGGATGAAAGTGAAGCATAATACAGCACAAAGGAAAGCAAAATGCAATCATATTGTTTCTCTTTCAGCCAGTTCATATTAAGAGGATGCCAGTTACCTACCAGACCATGCTTACATTGAAGGTGCAAATGTTTTGAATTCAGTAGTGTGTGTCACTCCAGATGTTATGGGATTGCAACTACCTTTCGTTGTTGTTGTGTGCCTTCAAGTCATTTCTGACTTATGGTGACCCTAAGGCCCTATCATGAGGTTTTCTTGGCCAAATTTATTTGGGGCAGGTTCGTCTTTGCCTTCTGAGGAGAGGGTGTGATTTCCCAGGGTCACCCAGTAGGTTTGCATGGCTGCATGGTTATTCAAACTCTGGTCTCCAGAGTCGTACTCCAGTGCTCAAACTGCAACATGATGCTGGTTCTTCTCACCATTGTCTATCTATGCTACTTAGGGTTGATTGGAGGTGTAGTTCAATAGCATCTGGAGGGGACAGATAAACTGATGCTGAGATGTGTGCACAGTGGCACTGCTTAAAACAACAGTGTAATTTCTATAACTGAAATCTTAATGCCTGCAAATATATCACCCACCTAGAGGAGGGATTCACTAAATGTTATTTCCACAACTGCAGGTCTAGCCATGAACTCTCATTGCCTTCCTAACCACAGCTGCTTTCCTTCTGAGACAGAAGTCCAGTCAATTATGTTCATCAAGTGATTACTGCACATCAATGACAGATCGGCTGGCTGTATGTTGTTTATAATAGATCACTTTTTAAAAGTATGGTTTTAATCATTGGGAGTCAATTAACCAAGTCCTTACTTTTTTCAAATGACTTATTATCTTCTCAACAGATTATGTGAACTGGCCAAAAGAGAAAAGAGACATAAATTCTTCTTACTATGAGTTCCACTTTGTTTTGGAACATCCACCATCGTAAACACTGGGCACTGGAACAAAATCAAAACCATCCCTTTTTTAAAATCATGAATGCTGATTCAGAACATAATCCTTTTAAGAATTTCTATACAAAAAAACGTTGGTGCCAAAAATGTTGCTGAGTTCAGTTTATAATATCTTGGTCTTGCACTGTCAGCACAATTTTAAGTCCACAAAGCACATAGGGTGCACTCCATAACACTACAGAGTTGTGCAGCAGGAGTGCCTCTTGGGTCATGTACTTTAGAGCATAATCTCCACCAGATTATATTATGGTGCCATGTTAGTTCAAGTGCTTGACTGGAGCCAGTTGATGTGCCCATCATTTTATACAATGGATGTTAACTTTTTCTGTGTGGGTGTTAGCATACCTGATTACTCTTGTGAGCATTCGCATGCTTCTTAATATCATAAATGTCATTGTTGAAAATACATGATGAAATTTATTCAGGTTGAGTTTATCCAAACTTGGGGGGAATGGTTGGGGCATTCACAAGCTTGGTCCCATTTGCCAAACACAAAGTCCATGAAAACGATAAAGCAGGCTTGCGCAACCTGATGCCTTCCAGATGTGTTGGACTACAACTTCCATCACCGCTGATGGCTGTGCTAGCTGGAGATAATGGAGGCAGCAGTTAAAAGCATATGTAGGGCTGGAGAAGGCATTTAACCATATGACCAATGGCTGCATGGATCAGCTTTTGTTTCATAATCAAGTTAAAGTCCCATCTCAAAAGAATTTATCACTCACACCTGATGCTAACAGTGCCTTTGAGCTTCTCCCACGAGAATTGTGTGCCTATCATTAGTGCAGAACAGAATGTGAAAAATCAACATTTATAAAGGAAATGAATTGTTGCCACTAATTCATTTACATTAATTGTGATTGTATCATGTATTTTTTTTTAAAAAAACTAAAATCTAGTGATTTAATCCATTTCTGTTGCTAACTATCTGCTCTCTTTTGTTGTTGTGTATTGTGTGTTCACAGTTCAGGATCATGTGTTAAATGAAACTTATAACACATTGCCTTTGAGCAAAAATGAGATCCTATAACCACTGCTACCTACCCTGGACACATACGGTTTTATTTAGTGCCAACAAAGTGCTGTGTGCTTTTAAACTGGTCTCTTGTTAAGTAGAAATATAGATCTCTTCTACCTGAAATGCCTGCAGACTTCTGTCACTGAATGATCAATGCTAAAAAGATGGCAGGTTTGGTGTGTGTGTGTGTGTGTGTGTGTGTGTGTGTGTTTTAATGGGACACACTTCAAAATAGAGCTCCATATTCACTGCCCTGTATTTTTTGAACTCTTGTAGATTGCTTTCTTGATTCATTCAACTGGTTAGCCAGTTTGCACACACACAAATAAATGCACATGTGGGCTGGCTCCTTCCACTGAAATGTATGGGGAAGTAATTTGATGAAGGAAGCCTTGGAGCTTCCATGCCTGAAACAGATTGCTAGATGAGGGCAACTGTGTTCCACCTTTAGTGCCTAAAAAATGCCAAGGTTACTTTTCAAATAGGTTCCATTGATAAGGGTCTATTTTCATAGTAAACCTATATAGTATCAATGTGGACATAACCTAAAGACATGAGCAGTAAGAGATCAGCAAATCATTGTGGATATTGAAGGCAGAGTCATCTGATTTCAGAAACATTGCATGTAATTCTGTAACTGTGTGTAGTGTTAGTTACTTCTTTTTTATCTGCTGCAAAATAGTTACAACAAACTGACCGATTTAGAGACAGTTAGAAAGCTAACAGGCTATGGTGGAACCCTTCACCTGGCCTAGATTAATATCTTATCTGCAGATTTTTGACAGAAAATGTTGAAGACCTGAAATATATACTTATTTCATTTGAGTCACACAATTGCTTCCCCCCCCCCTCGTTTTGACCACAGCTAGTAATGCTTTAGATATGCCTGTTTATTCTCATTTTCAGTATTCTGTCATTTATAATCTTGCAATTAATTTAGAATTTTAAAAATCTTGGGATATTGTGCAAGATCTAGTAACAGTGTCATAGACCAAAGCCCTAATGTGCAACTCCAGTATGCATGCAACAGGCCTGCAGGTGTGGGCTGTCCCTATTCAACTCAAGGGATGGCTTGATATGTTCATGAGATGCTGCCTTCTACTAGTGTAAAGGAAGACGACTCTTTTGTAAGAGATCTGGACATACATTAAACTATCAAAATGGCTGAATCTGGCGGCATTAAAATTGGTGTGGCATAGTCCACATAAAGAGCCTGGTGGTGCAGTGGTTAAATGCCGGTACTATAGCCACTCACATACAAACCACAAGGTTGTGAGTTCAATACCAACCAGGGGCTCAGGATTGACTCAGCCTGGCATCCTTCCAAAGTCGCTAAAATGAATACCCAGCTTGTTGGGGGCAATTAGTTTACATTTCGTAAACTGCTTAGGGAGTGCTTAGGTACACGGATAAGTAATATAGAAATGTACTTGCTATTGCTAGTCAGCATGGTCTGGGGTTAAAATTGCTGTTCATCTACCAAACTCATTGGGTAATCTCAAGCAAGATTTCAGCCGTGGCCCATCTCACAGGGTTGCTATGAGGTTAAAGAATGGAATAACACCAATATATGGTATCTGGGGTTCTGTGGAAGAAAAATTCAATGAAAACATCATGGATACTTAATGGCCAGAATCCTTTTCATGTCTTACTCATGCACAAGTTCCCATATGGAAGTGGTTGGACATTTTTGTCCTATGCTAAATTGCCCAGGGTTGCAGAAGCCATGGGTGGACATGTACATTGTTCATGGATATACACAATTCCACATACACAGTGTCGCAATTCACTAATTCATGCAACTCACAACCACTACATAGCTCTGGGAGGATAAAGATACACTATATTTCCTCAATGTAGAACCTTTGCCAACATCTGTATGGTCACATAGTTGTACACTTGTATTGAAAAATTTGGTAATGGAGTGCTGACACACTTCATGTCTGCATGGGTAAAATCATACAGAAACCATGAAAGAGCCACCTCAGTGGTTCAAACTACTATAATCTGCAGTGATGTTGTATAAATTATTATAATGTTATAAATAATTATAATATTATAGAAGCAAGAGACCATGGAGTATACATTTGTTGTTGTGTGGCTTCAAGTCGTTTCGGATTTATGGTGACCCTAAGGCAGGGGTCCCTGGACTTTTTGATCTGGGGGCCGGTTCGCTGGCCCCCAGATCTTCTGGGGGGCTGAAGGCGTGCTCGCATGCGCATGACTCCAGGCGCCATTTTGGAACACAAAATGGCGCTCGAGTAGTGCACATGCGCGCGTGATGCTGGGCGCCATGTTGTGTTCCAAAATGGCGTCTGGAGTTGTGTGCATGCGTGCGCAACACCAGGTGCATGCGCACGACTCCGGATGCCATTTTGAAACACAAAATGGCATCCGGCGGCAGGCGCGAGCGGCAGCGCGGCGGTGGCAGGACCAGCCATAGGCCCGTAGGAAGGCCTTGACGGGCCGGGTTCAGCCCATGGGCCTTAGTTTGGGGACCCCTGCCCTAAGGTGAACCTATCACAGGGTTTTCTGAGGCTGAGAGTGTGTGACTCGTACATGACACCCAGTGGGTTTCCATAGCTGAGCAGGGAATTGAACCCTGGTCTCCAGAGTCATAGTCTGTCATTCAAACCACTACACATACGTTTTCCTAATTGCACAACTGTTGGCACATGGATGTTTAATATATCTGTGCTGCAAATGTTAACACACTGAGACTAGTAGGCATTCAGGTCCTACCTTATATATATATATATATATATCTGTAATTATAATGTTCCTCTGGTTTTTGCCTCTGTATTGTCCATTCCAAGAAAGTATCTTTGGTTGCTCTGAGTCAAACTCACTTGGTGCTGTCAACCTGTTACCTTGAATCTCACCATTTTATGTATTTTGGAGCATCTATTTGTTACAGAGTGAATGGTTGTTATTTCCATTTTGCTCTTTGGTTGTTACTGTTGCTAATAAACAAGCTTTGGTTACTTTTCACAGGAAGTTGCCTTTCTATTTGAATCCATCATGGACGTTTATCCAGTTCCGTTACATGTTTGAAGAATTCAAGTCTAGCACTGGGATAGATATCACTTTTGCCTTCTACATTTGACAGACAGAAAGTGCAACACTTGGACGTACAGCTAACTAGGGATGGGGAAATTTTGCTTTTTTCCCCAAATGCAGATTTTTTAGGCCTCGGGATTGAAGAAATCTGTGGCTTTGGGTGAATCAATTCTGTCCTATTTACACTGCATTTTCTAACATGGAGAGACTCTCTACAGACTAGAATGCTCTTATACTGAAATAGCAGGAGATCTTTGGATGGTGGAAGCTATCATTGATAGACATCATGACCAGCATGGGATGTATGGGGATATAATAATGGGTAGATTGAATGTAGAGGAAGGCCATATAATGGGGATTGAAGGCAAGGAAAGGGACTTTGGGCAACAGCTAGGACCAAAGAGAAACTCGATTTAGGTATTTTGGGGAGCAGCATCTCCACAAATCAAGATGAAGAGCAAAGTAGGATGGATAGAGTAGGACCTAAGGTGAGATAAATGGAAGCCTAGAGTGGTATAGACTGCAAGAATCTAGACAAAGCGTTTAGCAAGGAAAGGGCAGAGTTTTTGCCAAAAGGAGAGAGAAGAAGTCGTCTTTCTCCAAAATAATGCAAAGCACAACTTGGTAACAGCCTGAATATAGAGAATAAAGGCAGAAGCAACAAAGATTAAAAAAAAATGTTTAACTGTACCATTTTTGAAATGCTGTAGGCCACTTTGGATCCTGCATAGGGAAAAAGGTGGGATATAAATCAAATAAATAATAAAATATACATTTTATCTAGACACTTGCCAGCCGTTTTCTTTATTTAAATGAAATTTTTACGTGTTTGATGGGACATTTAAACATGCAATACAGTATTTAATCAAAGGACTGTAGAATAGGTGCAACTCGAATCACATGCAGCAATGTTGGCTATCTAGCTAGGCAGCTTTGGGATGTTGCTGGATTAAAGAAACGGATGCTGCTGGAAATGGTGGTACAGGGGACAGTAGGAGAGCTTTGCACACATGCATTGGCTAGCAAGATACAGTTGGCCCTCTTTTATCTATGGAGGCAAGCATCCACAGGATGAAAATATTCAAACAATATATAAATCCCAAAAAGCAATCCTTGATTTTGCCATTTTATATAAAAATTTGCTACATTTGCTATTGAGCATCCACAGATTTGGGTATCCACGGGGGGAGAGGGGCTGGAACCAAACCCCAGCGGATGCCAAGGGCTCGCTGTATTTAATTTTTTACACAAATCCACAATATCTTTTCCCAAAAACAAAGCAGGGACCAGCCACCCATCAACCAGTTATTTACCAAGGAGAAGGAGGAAAAATAGGAACAGTATATCACATGTGTGTGTGTGTATGTATATATATATATATATATATATATATATATATATAAATCCCAACAACTACGGACCAGTGGTTAAATGGAGCCTCCCTGCCACTTGTCCTGAGATTAGTCAAATTCCTGCATTCCCATGTGGCATCTCAAAATTGCTGATATCCCTGTTTTGGCTGGAGATATAGAACTGGATCCAGAGGTCAGAGCTGAGCATGCTTACATATGCACACACCCATATAGACATATACCCATTCAACTATATTGTACTGCATATCCCTTGCAGCTGCTTTATGAGTCACAGTTGTCTCCCGCTTTTTCCACCAGTGACCTCAATGCAGCATAACATGGTTCCAGCTGCTCCCCACTTTTATCCGCTGGAAATTCCTATGAGGAATGACTTGGGGATAAATCAAATACCGTAAATAATGAATATAAGTATTGAAAAATTAAAAACTGAGAAGTGACAACACGATAGCCAGCTTGAAATATCCAAAGTGTGTCCTGCAACTGATGGAGTGAGCTTGCTTTCCTTTGGAGGCCTTTAAACAGAGGTCCGATGGGCATCTTTCCTGAGTGCTTTGGCCCCATCCAACTTTTGGATTTTTAAGTCTTTGAGGTAAGTCACGCTGGAAAGGAATGTGACTGGTTGAAGGTCACCCCATGGGTTTCATAAGTCTGGACATGCGAAGCCTGATCTCCCGACTCCCAGTTCAGTGATTGCTATACCATACTGGGTAACCAGTAGAAAGACTCTTACTATTGCTTATGTTGTTGTTGTTGTGTACCTTCAAGTTGTTTCCAACTTATGGCAACCCTACGTTGAAGCTATTCTTAGGTTTTCTTGGCAGGTTTTATCTTGAGAAGGGGTTTGCCACCGCCATCCTCTGAGGCTGAGAGAGTGTGACTTGGCCAAGGTTACTCAGTGGATTTACATGGTCAAGCTGGGATTTAAACCCTGGTCCCCAGGATCATAGTCCAAGGCTCAAACCACTACACCATGCTGGCACTCTTTTATACAGCCTAAATACCCCAAAGGCACCAAATCCCATCTGATCTTGGAAGCTAAGCAGGGTCTGCTCTGGGTAGTACTCAGATGGGAGACCACAAACCAATACCAGCTGATGTAGGCTCTGTTTCAGAGGAATGAACTGGGGAATACCTCTTGAGTATTCCTCGCCTAAGAAAACCCTACAAAATCAATGGGGTTGCCATAAGTCAATGGACGACTTGAAGGATATATACACACACACACTACTTATATATAATTCTTGGCTCTACTGTCTTGTCAGATTTTTTGTTCCCTTTTCCTTTTGGAAAAGCTCATTGACAAAAAGGCAGAAAAACAAGAAATGCAAGACTTCCCATCATACAGGCCCCCAAAGGCTTTTTTACCGGACGATGGACAAAATCAGACACAGGAACCAAGGAGTTAAAAACTGATTTAAGTTATTTTAAAGAATGGATTAAGCTGGAAGTTTTCTAAGAAAAAGGAACCATTTAATTCAATATATTACATCACTAAAGCTGGGATGTAAGTATTAGTTTAATCCCACAGTTAATTACCTGCTAAAAAGCCAATATATTTTAAGACTTTTTAGTTAATTCCAAGTTTATTTTTCTATACCAACAAGGAGTAGGTGATAATCTTCATTGCATCCTTGTGTTTCTCTGTCCCGGGAAACTGCATTTTGGGGCTGTTAACCCTAAACCTTTTCTGGGGTTCCCAAAGAAATCTGAAATTATGTACTAATAGTCATAGCTAGCAATTTTTCAGCTTCATTTTGGTTAAGTGCTAGCATTTACCTTAAATCTAAATGGCAGTTTTAACATACAATGAACAGGTAGTGCTCTACTTATAATATCTTGTTATAGTTGTGTGTGATTCCCAGCTTGGCCAAGAAACCCACTGGGTGACCTTGGGCAAGTTGCACTCTCTCAGCCTCAGATGACAGCAATGGCAAGTCTCCTCTGAACAATTCTTGCCAAACAAAACAAAACAAAACAAACCATGATGGAGACCAGGGTTAGATTTCCAGTTTAGCCATGAAGCCTTGGGCAAGTCACACTCTCTCAGCCTCAGAGGACAGCAACGGCAAGCCTCCTTTGAACAAATCTTGCCAAGACAACCCCATGATGGAGACCAGGGTTAGATTCCCAGCTTGGTCAAGAAACCTACGGGGTGGCCTTGGACAAGTCACACTTTCTCAGCCTCAGAGGATGCCAATGGCAAACCTCTCTCTGAACAAATCTTGCCAAGAGTCACACTCTCTCAGCCTCAGAGGACAGCAATGGCAAGCCTCCTCTAAACAAATCTTGCCAAGAGAACCCCACGATGGGTCCCCATAAGTCTCAGAAAGGACTAGAAGCAAGGCCTGTCTTTTTCTCTGGGCGAGAGAGCTTTCCCGGGGGCATGGCCGCCTAGCAGCTCAGTCCAAAGGGATGGAGGGCGAGGCCTTGCTGCCTGGGGCTGTTCCTTGGGCTCCAGTTCCGGGAAGGAGGGGCTCAGGATTGGCAGCCAGCCTCCTTCCTCCTCTCTCCGCCTCCGCCTTCCAGAGCCGGACCCAGAGGCAGGCAGAGGGAGAAAGACGCAGCCCAACTTTTCCCGCTGCAGCAAGTGGGGCGAATCCGATTGCGCGGCCAAGTGAGCAGGTAAGGAAGGCGGGCAGCGGGACCCCCCTTTGGAGGGCTGGGCAAGACTCCCAAGAGGGGCAGGAACCCCTATGCCACCCAGACAGATGCCCACCATAGTCCCCTGGGGCAGGGAGGGGAAAAGATCCTTTAATCCAATGCCCCCACCCCCAAATTTGTCTGTGGCCCACGCCCCTAGGAAATGTTTAAATTCATATTTGGACCCCACCCCCCTTCCAAAAAAGTAATAGCACATTTGTAGATGAAGAAGGTCCAAAACACATTGCAGAAATAGTCCAGTTTGGGACCGTTTTAACTGCCCTAGCTCAGTGCTAGGAAATCCTGGGAGTTGTAGTTTTGTGAGACATTGAGCCTCCTCTGGCCCCAAACACACTGCAGAAGTAATCCAGTTTGGGACCGCTTTAACTGCCCTAGCTCAGTGCTAGGAAATCCTGGGAGTTGTAGTTTGTTACGGCACCAGAGCTCTCCGACAGAGAAGGCTCAGTGTCTCGCAAAACTACAGCTCCCAGGATTCCCTATAGCATTGAGCCAAGGCAGTTAAAGCGGTCTAGAACTGGATCATTGTCGCGGTGTGTGCTTGGACCAAAGTCTCCTTTCT